GAGAACGGGTGGGTGGGCGGGGCTAAATTTAACTTTTTCATACAGAATATTTAAAAGCAAAGAATAGCCCCGCCCACCCACCCCCTTTTAATTCTAGTGATTACTCTTAATATTGTTCATTTACCAAAATCAGTCTTATTTTAACAAAAACTAGCTATGTCCATCCACCTTCTATTTTCTTAGGGGGTATATAATTTGCCACAATCAGTCTTATCCTAGCAAGTGCTACAGTCAATCAAACACTGGTACTTCCTGTGCGAGGGAAGTTCTGTCGAAACAACTTTCGACCAATTTTTTAAGGTTATTATAAGATGATAATTTTTAATCAAAATGTAATTACTTATCCCCTTCAAAAAATTGATGACGTCAGCTCAAAATTTTTTCCAATAAATCCTATCTAAATTGTACAAAATATGATGAGTCTGTACTTGTAATTTATCATTTCACTCATATTTATAGATTTGCATATACAAGTGACTCAAAAAAATTAATGAATTTTTAATCAAAATGTATTTTGTTCATCCCCCCCTAAAAAATTGATGACGTCACCTCAATATTTTGCTGAATAAATCTTATCTTAAATGTGCAAAGTATGATGAGTCAATACTTGTGATTTACCACTGCATTAATATTTTTTAGATTTACTTATACGGGGTGTCTCAAAAGAATAAATGACTGAGTCAATTTAATTTCTTGATTAAATCAGGAATTGCACAACTGAATATTTTGAAATCTTGCAAACGTTTTGAAGTTATTGTAAACAGGGTAACTTTTTAACCAAAAATTGATTACGTCATCTCAAAATTTTGTCGAATAAATCCTTTGAAAATGTGATCAGACTATGCATGTAATTTATCATTGCATTCACATTTTTTAGATTTGCTTATACGGGGTTACCCAAAAAAATTAATGAATCAGTCAGTTTACATGTTTAACTATCCTGTTGTTGAGAGAAAACTATACATTAAAAAAAACAAAGATTAAGCCCCACCCACCCGCCCCAATCCTAATTGTGATGAGTTTCATATGATAATTTCTTGTAGAGAAATGAGGATTTTGTAGCTAAACTCCGCCCTTCAGCTCACGATGAATAAAGCATTCGTCACAATAGGAACGGGTGGGTGGGCGGGGCTTATATTTTGTCCATTTTTTCTTAATATACGAAGTCTTCAAGAAACTGACAATATGTTCAACTATCTCTTGTTGAAATAAAACTCTATATATAAAAAAAAACAAAAATTAAGCCCCACCCACCCATCCGGATCTCAGTCGTGATGAGTTTTGCTTTCTTAATCAGACTAAAGGGCGCTTGTAACACCAATATGCTTCAAAAAAATTTTCTCATTTAAAAACATATTTCAGATGGTAATTTCTTTTTTTGCAACTAAACTCCGCCCCTCAGCTCACGATGAATCAAATATTCATCACAACTGAGATCGGAGCGGGTGGGCGGAGCTCAATTTATGTCTTTTTTTAATATATAGAGTTTTCTTTCAACAAAGGATAGTTAAACATATTGTCAGTTTTTTGTTGGGAAAAGAAAACTTTGTAATTTAAGAAAAATTGGAAAAAATATAAGCCCCGCCCACCCACCCCTTCCCTATTGTGACGATTGCTTTATTCATCGTGAGCTGAAGGGCGGAGTTTCGTTTCAAAATTCTCAGTTTCTGCAAGAAATTACGATATGAAAGTCATCACAATTGAGATTGGGGTGGGTGGGTGGTGCTTAATGTTTTTTTTTACATAAATATAGAGTTACCTTTCAACAACAGGATAGCTAAACATGTTTTTAGTTTCTTGTTGGGAAAAGACGACTTCGTATATTAAGAAAAAATCGACAAAATATTAGCCCCGCCCACCCACCCCGTCCCAATTGTGACGAATGTTTTATTCATCGTGAGCTGAAGGGCGGAGTTTAGTTTCAAAATTCTCATTTCTCTACAAGAACTTACCATATGAAACTCATCCCGATTGAGATTAGGGCGGATGGGTGGGGCTTACTTTTTGTTTTTTTTTTAATATTTAGAGTTTTTTTTCAACAAAGGATGGTTAAACATGTTTTCGGTTTGTTGTTGCGAAAAGAATTCTTCGTATATTAAGAGAAAATGAGGAAAGTTCTATCGAAACAACTTTCGACCAATTTTTATACTTTGTTTCCATTGAGGACAGTTTAAAAAATCATCAAAATTAAGTTATTTAGTTATTTTGACAACCTTAGCTGGCAGCCATGCAAGTTACTGTCAATGTTGGCATACTGAGCTCCGACGAATCTCAAGTTTGATATTAGATTAAAAGAAAACAAGATTTGTTTTTTCCATTATGGAAATTTAGTGTCTTTATGTTGAAAAATGATCAAAATAAATTTAGTTATTTTGACAACCTTAATTGGCAGCCATGCATGTTGGCAAACTCAGCTCCGATTAATCTCAAGTTTAACATTAATTTAAAAAGAAATAAGATTTGTGTTCTCGTTCCCATTTCATTCTAGGTGCTTTGAACAGCTGAGCAGGTTACCTTATTAAATAACATGAAAATCGTTCCAAGGTGGCAAATGTCAGTTATCCGTCAAATTTAAATTATGGCCATGACGTCAGCATTACCAACCCACACAGCAATGCTTTAAGACAGTCTACTAAAGGATTGTTTTTATATGTATTTTATACTACTTTTTTCAACTGCAACTTTTTCCATTTTCAAAACAAACTTGGATTTTTTTATAGTTCTGGGGAATTTTGTCGTGGTTGGTACGACAAACAAATGTCAGATCGAAACACTTGAAGTTTAAATTTAAATTTATGATGTGTTCCTTTATTTTCTTAGATTTTACAGCTGGAGCGAATAGTGGCATCGAAATTAAAAAAATATTATTACTTATTTAAACCATCTTAATATTTTAAATGTTTAGTTTTTAAAGTCCTGAAGGAGTGTGCCTTTTTTGAATTTGAAGGTATTGAAGTTAATGAAATTCAACAATATTTTATTTTTTCGTAAAATACAAAACATACAATATTTGAATTGTAGCGATATACTTGCTATGGAAGCTCAACTGCTGTGAAGATCCCTCACCTCGCCGAAGACGAAGTACTGAAAAAAATTCTGACCTCGTCAAACACTGAAAATTTAATTCACATAAATAACTCACCTGACCTCACAATTATTTGACACAAATCTTAATTTAACAGTAGGAGCTTCATAATTTTTTCTTTAACAGTTCTGTCGATACCTACTGTCATGTGAATTCCTGGTACCTCCCCGATCCAACGGTCTCCCGTATAAAATTTCCCGTATAATTGATGCAAAAAGGTCAGGGTCGCGGCTCAGCATCCGCACGAAGAATCTTGACACAGTTCGTTTGCTGCATTTTTTTGTGAGCGTAAATAATAGAATGGTGTCATATTCTGGGGTGAAGGGTTACCTGAACACAATGAAAAACACCCTGAAGACAGACTTGGGGTGACGCGCATATATTATTATGGGGTGGGAAAGGGTTAAAAAAAACTATGCAAAAAAGGGTAGCTCGGTACACATTGTTGCGGATCTGTCCGGATGCATAATATGCAAAATTCCCCTTATTTGCCGGCTCGGGAAGGGTCCCATTTTAATATATGAGATTCTCGCTTTGTTAACATGTATGAATGCTTAACTAGATGTATTCACGGACACGAATGCGACTGTCATAACTGAACGGTTATCAATGCAGAATTGATGGTTTCGGCACACCCAGCGAGCACACAAACCATAAAAACCGAAAAACATAAATCCCCGATCCGTGTTCCCTTTCCGGCGATCGATCCGCCGGCTTTGTTTTGGAAACACGACTTCGATGTTTGCTGCTTTTGAAAGAAAATTGACGGAATTATTAGTTTTCCGGGGGGCTGTGGAGGAGCGGGACCAAGAGTCGGTTTTTGAAAAGAATCAAACTGGAGGAATTCGGAATTCTGACTCGTGATTACGGCATATGAGAAAATGTCTTTATCGCGCCGTAGAATTGTATTTCGCGTTGTGATCTTCGATAAATACAAAGGAACTAATAAATTGCGTCTTAAGGAAAAGACGACTGATATTTATTGCCTCTCACCAATCAAAAATAAGAACGTTTGCCGACTCAAAATTTTCGAAATTTTGGTTGCGATTTAACTCGGCTTAATTTCGTTCGGCAGCCCCCGCCCCCGGCCGCCGCCGTCCCCGTATGAATTTCAATTTCGGGGCGGGCGGCGGAAGCTTTCCCATGTTTTCCTCGCATAAAATAAAATCAATCGGCGGGTCACGTGCAGCTAACGTTTTAGGTTTGTGATATTTTACTTTAGCGTCGAGCTTCTTATTATTCAGAAGACGTAAGTACAAGGGGAGCCCTCATAAAGGGCCGGAATCGCGCCCAACTCCCTCGCACTAGCGCCGCTCTGTAACTTCATCTGGCATTCAACGTGTTGTATCGAATGCCGGCCCGGTAATAGCGCAGAATTGTTAATTAAACCGACCCTTCGGGCTTCCCATCGACTCTGGCCCAAATCTTCGTGTGAAATATTGAATATGCATTATCCCTCTACCTGCGCCTCGATCGAACCGTATGCAAAAGTATTGTGATCGGAGCGCAGGAAACCGTCTTTAAGACACCCCTTCGATCGAATTAGCGGCATCCAGGCAGGGTTGCCAGCACCTGTCGGTGTACCAAAACCCAAAAATTCGTCGCAACATTGCATAATCTGCTTCCATTTTGTTGCAGGGAGCGTCGGAAATGACCAGAGTGTGGGGTGGAGTTTCGGCCATTATGCCTCTCTCCCCCAGGATTATTACGGCCTTATCTCCGGCATTAGATACAGTGTGTGTCTAAAGTGTCCCTGGTGACCGTACGTGGAATTATTCAAGATATGGCCCGCCATCGCGTGAATCACGTCCGGAATATAACATCTTCCTCGTTACGGCCGTAAAAAGACATGCATCAATTTTTATGGCGCTGGGAGGGATCGACGGATGGGATGTGACGTCATTCATACAGGGTCCTCCTTTAATGATTTATTTGTCTTTTAAGAGTGGACGTGAGAAACATCAATAATTCGGAGGTTGCGTTCCGCAATATAGTTGTGTTTAACATTTACGGAAACCTCAGTTCCGATTGCCGAACGCAACTCCGAAAACGCCACGAAATTGACAAGAATATGCTTAAGTACTACGTATCACATCGAATTGAAACGGTAACATGGAATAAACGGTTCAATAAATATAAACGCTGAGTATATATATTATATATGTCCTAAAATATATATAAGGCCTATGTTCTTAATTATTATCCTTTACATGTTCCCTTGTACGAAGCAAGCGGATAAATATTTTTCAGCAACAAGTAGCGGTGCTCTGGAAAACCTGAAAAACAAATTAAACGATTAGTTTCAGAGTCGACGCATAAATTTAAAGCAGATGCTTAGAGTCAGATAAAAGGAAAGCGAAGGTGGCGGTTCTAACGACATGTTTTGCCGCCAACTATGGCACTCTGCCACAAGGATAACACGAATACAATGAGTCGATGAAACCGCAGTCGTACGTCAGGAGTGACGCAGTTACGACACATTAAATTCCGTGTGTGTCAAAATACCAAAAAAGTTTTAGTGTGCTTAGTAATTTAGTCATAGAAACGTTGAATGTAAGCGCTTTCTGTCGGTCTGCGCTGATATACGATGGTAATGGAGGAGGAAAAGAGGGTCAATCTAGAGAATTCCAAATGTTTGTAATTTTTTACAAATTTTTCAATTACTCCTTGTATGTCCAAAATGAGTAAAATGTCCCAATATTTCAACTAAATCCTTAAATTATATTCACGCGTTTCTTGCAAATCCTCAATGAAAGAAGGCAATGAATTTTCATTAACAATATTTATTGTGAATAATAATCATGTAGCTGGAAAAATTGCCGGTTGAATTGAAAAATAAAATAAATCTGATCTCGAAATTGTACAAAAAGTAAAATTCGCCACTTCCGGGCGTTCCACTAATTTATGACTTGCAGCCAGGCAGCCACCTGCACAAAGAGCTGCCGCCTAAGTTTTGTTTGCAGTATCGTTTCTCATTCTTATTTTACTTTTTTTTTATCGTTACCAAATGACGTCTTTTAAAACAAATACGGAAACAAAGTTAATAATTTTCAAAAATTTTCCAAAAAATTGGTTAAAAATGTGTTCAACTGAAAATTGGTTTCAAAGTCTAGACAGTCTTCATTAAGAACAAATTCAAAAAGAGCATCATGACGTCTATTCAAATAAACGTGGAAAGTGGGCTCAAAATTTTCAAAATGTTTTCAAAAGTGGTTAAAATGTCTACAATCGACTGAAAATTGGTGGCAAATTGTAGATAACCTTCCTATAAGAACAAATCCAAAATCGCCGTCAACACATTTATTCAGACAAAAATGAAAAGTGAGTTAAAAATCTTCAAAATTTTTCCAAAAAAATGGTTTAAGTGGGTTTAACTGACTGAAAATTGGTGCTAAATTGCAGACAGTCTTAAGCTAATTACAAATGCGAAATCGCCCTTACAAGATCTGTTCAAAGAAACTTGAAAATTCAGTTCAAAATTTTCAAAATAATTCCAAAATATTGTTAAAATGGGCTTAATAGACTCAAAATTGGTGCTAAATTGTAGATAATCTTTCGCCAATTATAAATCCAAAATCGCCGTTATTAGATGTATTCAAATAAACCTGATAATGGAGTCCAACATTTTCAAAAAAAAAATAAAAAAAACATTAAAATAGATTCAAACAACTGAAAATAGGTGTCAAGTTGTAGACAACCTTCAGTTAATTATAAATCCAAATTTGCCGATACGATATCTATTCAAATAAATGTGGAAACTGAGTTAACAATTTTCAAATTTTTTCAAAAAATTGGTTGAAAATCTTTTCGATCGACTGAAAATTGATGTAAAATTGTACATAGTCTTCGCTTAAGAACAAATCCAAAATGAGCATCATCACGTCCATTCAAATAAACGTGGAAAGTGAGCTGATAATTTTCAAAATTTTTTCAAGAAAGTGGTTAAAATGTGTACAATCGACTGAAAATTGGTGTCAAATTGTAGATAACCTTCCTTTAAGAACAAATCCAAAATCGCCGTCAACACATTTATTCAGATAAAAATGAAAAGTGAATTAAAAGTTTTCAAAATTTTTCCAAAAAAAAATGGTCAAAGTGGGTTTAATTGACTGAAAATTGGTGCTAAATTGTAGACAATTTTAAGCTAATTACGAATGCAAAGTCGGCCTTGCGAGATCTGGTCAAATAAATTTGAAAATTAAGTTCAAAATTTTCAAAATCATTCCAAAAAATTGTTAAAATGGGTTTAATAGGCTCAAAATTGGTGCTAAATTGTAGATAATCTTCCGCCAATTATAAATCCAAAATCGCCGTTATTAGATGTATTCAAATAAACCTGATAATGGAGTCAAACATTTTCAAAAAAAAATTCAAAAAAAATCATTAAAATAGATTCAAACAACTGAATATAGGTGTCAAGTTGTAGACAATCTTCAGTTAATTACAAATCCAAATTTGCCGACACGATATCTATTCAAATAAATGTGGAAACTGAGTTAGCAATTTTCAAATTTTTTCAAAAAATTGGTTGAAAATCTTTTCGATCGACTGAAAATTGGTGTAAAATTGTACATAGTCTTCGCTTAAGAACAAATCCAAAACGAGCATCATCACGTTCATTCAAATAAACGTGGAAAGTGAGCTGATAATTTTCAATTTTTTTTCAAAAAGTGGTTAAAATGTGTACAATCGACTGAAAATTGGTGGCAAATTGTAGATAGCCTGCCTTTAAGAACAAATCCAAAATCGCCGTCAACACATTTATCCAGATAAAAATGAAAAGTGAGTTAAAAATTTTCACAATTTTTTCAAAAAAAAATGGTTAAAATGGGTTTAATTGACTGAAATTTGGTGCTAAATTGTAGACAATTTTAAGCTAATTACAAATGCAAAATCGGCCTTGCGAGATCTGGTCAAATAAACTTGAAAATTCAGTTCAAAATTTTTAAAATAATTCCAAAAAATTGTTAAAATGGGTTTAATAGACTCAAAATTGGTGCTAAATTGTAGATAATCTTCGGCCAATTATAAATCCAAAATCGCCGTTATTAGATGTATTCAAATAAACCCGATAATGGAGTCCAATATTTTCAACAAAATTTCAAAAAAATCATTAAAATAGATTCAAACAACTGAAAATCGCTGTCAATTTGTAGACAATCTTCAGTTAATTACAAATCCAAATTTTCCGACACGATATCTATTCAAATAAATGTGGAAACTGAGTTAGCAATTTTCAAATTTTTTCAAAAAATTGGTTGAAAATCTTTTCGATCGACTGAAAATTGATGTAAAATTGTACATAGTCTTCGCTTAAGAACAAATCCAAAATGAGCATCATCACGTCCATTCAAATAAACGTGGAAAGTGAGCTGATAATTTTCAAAATTTTTTCAAGAAAGTGGTTAAAATGTGTACAATCGACTGAAAATTGGTGTCAAATTGTAGATAACCTTCCTATAAGAACAAATCCAAAATCGCCGTCAACACATATTGAGATAAAAATGAAAAGTGAGTTAGAAGTTATCAAAATTTTTCCAAAAAAAAATGGTTAAAGTGGGTTTAATTGACTGAAAATTGGTGCTAAATTGTAGACAATTTTAAGCTAATTACGAATGCAAAATCGGCCTTGCGAGATCTGGTCAAATAAATTTGAAAATTAAGTTCAAAATTTTCAAAAAAAATCCAAAAAATCGTTAAAATGGGTTTAATAAACTCAAAATTGGTGCTAAATTGTAGATAATCTTCCGTCAATTATAAATCCAAAATCGCCGTTATTAGATGTATTCAAATATACCTGATAATGGAGTGCAATCGAGTGAAAATTGGTGTCAAATTGTAGATAACCTTCCTATAAGAACAAATTCAAAATCGCCGTCAACACATTGAGATAAAAATGAAAAGTGAGTTAAAAGTTTTCAAAATTTTACTTCATATCACCGTAGCACGTACTAGCCCCACCCACTCATCCTCATTAGCCAAAATCAGTCTTATCTTAGCAGCTACTACCTAGGATAAGACTGATTTTGGCAAATGAGATAGCCTGTAAGAAAAGAGAGGGTGGGTGGGCGGGCCTAGTACCCGCTAAGATAAAACAGATTTTGGCAAATGACATAGCTACCAAGAAAAGAGAGGGTGGGTGGGCGGGGTTAGTAGTTGCAAAGATAAGACTGATTTTTGCAAATGACATACCTTCCAAGAAAAGAGAGGGTGGGTGGGCGGGGTTAATATCTGCCAGGATAAGACTGATTTTGGCAAATAACATTGCCTCTAATAAAAGAGAGGGTGGGTGGGTGGGGCTAATACCTTCCAAAATAAGACTGATTTTGGCAAATGACATATACTGCCAAGATAAAACTGATTTTGGCAAATGAGAAATGACATATCCTCTAAGAAAATAGAGGGCAGATTCAAAAGAATACCTAGAACGTCAAGATTGTTTTAAATTTTTCAAAAAAAAAACGGGGTCTTAAAATTGACTCAAAAACAGGTCAGGTCAGAATTTTCCAAAAATAGAACACCAAATTCCCCCAAAATTGTTTTAACTAATTTACAAAAAGAAATCGCCATGGGCTCCCAAGACAATATAATATAAAATAATCGGTACTCAAAAGTCTCCCAAGTTGAAAAAAAAAACACTGCGACTCAACACTTTTTCAAATTCATAAAAAATTAAACACTAAAAGTTGATCCAGCAACCAAACACCAGATTCCTTTAAATTTATTCGAAAATAAAACACCAGAGGACCTAAAATTAAGTGCGAACATTTTAAAAGTAACAAAAGAACCAATTTCAAAATCATTATAACTTCACCAAAATGTGAAAAGGAATTTTTTTACTATTTTTCCCAGACTCACTAGTTGATTGTTAGGAGTGTAGCGGAGAGTTAGTCCGCCATTTTTTAGACACTCGGTATTTTCCATTACAATTTTCACAATTAATTCCATAAAGTCTCAAGTTTTCTGGAGGAAAATTGGAACCTCGATTCTGAAGTGTAGATAACTTTCACTGGGAGTTCTCGGATTTTTTTTTCTAACACCCTTAATAGTTACTTACTGCCAAGAGAGATGGAATACTAAACTCTAATGTAAATACTTTGATAATTAAAAGTGAAAGTATATTCAGGCGTTTTTTGCAAATCCTTAATGAAAGGAGAAAATGAAAATATTGTTAATAATAATCTGTTGCTATCCGTTCATGTAGCTGGAAAAATTGCCGGTTGAATTGATAAATGAATTAAAGCTAAAGCAATTTCCGACCAATTTTCAGTTTATG